GTATTGTTTGTGGCGCAAATAGATTTACGAAGATAAACACCTACTGTAGAGTTTGCATAAGAAAGAAATCAAATCCCGCTAAAGAATGTATTCCTGTATGCTCGTTCCAGTAACTCTGATAGGATAAAGTAAAAAGCTATAAGCTTCTTGAATGTTTCATAGAATTCATAGTTGTTGTAATGCGCTGAAAGACGTAAAAAACGAACATAGCGCAACGTTTGCTTGTATAGGTACTTTCTTTTACGATGATATAAAGTGGCATGCATCTTGTTGCTAAAATGTGAAGATATTGCTAAAAAATAATGAAAGTTTTAAGAGTTGTTCTTATGAAACAAACTAATTATAAATAATAAATACTTCTCATAAATAATTTATGTAATAAAAAAAGAAAATTAAAAAATTAAGTGCTTAATTACAAACTATAATAAAATCCAACAAACAGTTTCATGATACATTTGATCATATAAAATATAATATGTGTATATGTAAATATATATGTACAAGTTGATTAACTAAATATACCAACTTTCGTAGTAAGTTATATTCTTTACTTTATAATAACGTACGTATAATCGGAGAACACTGGTTTGAAAGGTCCGTAGTGGAACTCGTTTACTTGACATTTCGTGAGACAAATGCAGCGGTTACCGTCAACGACTTTATCACGGAATACGAGCAAGGAAATAACTTTGATTTGTGCATGTATCCATCGAGTTACGAACCGAACGTAAAATACAATCCGTGGTTTCCGCAACGTCGTATCCTCCGTGGATATACTATGGGTTCCGCGTGTCGAGAATACATATGACTTGCCGGGATACATCTCTACGTAAACATTCAAGAAACGTTTCGAACACCTTAACTCTGACGGTCGATGCACCGCACAGCCAGATTAAATTCGTAGTTTCAAAGTTCCCTTCTAGTCGTGACTCTGCGTGCGAACGATCACCAAGTATAACAAGCTCGAACATAATATAGGAAACTCAATCGACTCTCACACTACAAAATTATATCCTACGTACTTGACTACCTGCACGTTATGAGATGATGGAGTATAAGGAGCGCATATCGAAGAAGAGGGAGGCAAGTGCTTCCGAGGGAAGGGTGAATTACCGGAGGAGCAAAATATCGTTATAGCGACATTCGGTGAAATTGCGAGGAGGTCGCCTAGCTATTTGTAATTGTAATTAGCAAACCGACTAATTCATTACGTTACCAAGAAATATACGATCTGCGGTACGTATGCTATTTAACTGCAAGGGATGGAATCCAATACGAGAAAACGTAACAAACACTAATCATTGTAAGCACTGACGTATGCGACAAATCATTGCATTTTGTGCGCAAGATATAGTAGAAACAGAAAGGAGATCTAATAACGAGAAAGTATAAAATATGGTCGACACAAAGAAAGAAAAATACAAAGCAAGGAAAAGAGATACAAGAAAATACAAAAGCTTGGTAGCATTTCTTGTAGAGACTTTAGATATATTTTTAGATTAAACATATAGGTACGCGATATCCTAGAAGCTTCCCATACCTCTTTTCATACATAGACATCCGAACTAACAGTTTCCCATAATAATAATATTAAGAACTGATATTTCTTAATTATATACTTAAGAATATAAGAATATTTCTGAATTGAATCCATTACAAATATTGTATGTATAAAACTGGATAGTAAACATTTATCAACTAACTAGTAGGTATCAAAATAATTTTAGTTAAGATTAAATAGTTTACTTCATATCAATCAAAGAATTTCAAATGAAGATGTAAGATGTTTAGAACATCTTTTATATGTATAATTTTAGGAAAATAAACATATATTTTACGAAGAATTGATAATAATTAATATCTTTCGCTGTAATGAAATGAGATAAGCGATCCTAGATTGGAAAGTCTTGAACTAACGAGCTGAATCGCTTTTGAAATTTGAACATAACGAGCTGAGTCGAGCGCGTCTCGGTAAATGTCAGAGAATAGAACGAGATAAATTTACGGGATCATGAAACATGCTGGAAGGCTCGAGGATGTCAGCCGCTGTCATCTGGGAAAAAATACTGCGACGGGCTGCGACGCGCATCATACGAAAAATAGGAGACGTGTTAACAAAACTGCAGTTAGTGAGTATGCAGTTAGTGAGTTTAACTTTCGTTGTTCTTAATTTCCACGGTTTATCCCTCGGGCTATTTTATCCTGTACATTGCAAGTCTTTTGAGACTATAAACACAACGATCCTACATTCCGTGAGTTTGGTTCAACAAATCGTTGGGAACAATATGGCTCCAACAAACATAATCATTTCTCATTTACTATTTAGTATAAATAAATTGAGTTTCTTAAAACAATACTTTTTAATTATTAAAATACTTTTAACTTAATTTCAAATATATTCAATTTTAGTTCATCTCAAAATAGAAAGATAACTCATAAAATGTAAAATGTGTTACTTTCTTTTAAATTCACTAGTACAAATTTTGAATTATTTGGTCATAAGAGATAACAGTTCTTTTAGTTCTCAAATAAATATAAATTAATTAATTAATAAGATTATATCTATATATATATATATATAATCATATAATCAACATATAATGTTTATATATATATATTACATATACAACTCTGTAAATTTATTGCATATGCAGAATTAATTAAAAAATGTAAATTTAATTTCTTATTTTTCCGACGATTTATGTTCTGCGCTATTACAAACATAATAAATATCAGTGTTATAACAATAAGTTAAATTTAGCTCGTTTCAATTACAAGAAAAGAATACAAGAGCAAAAGAGAGGAATTGGTCATATTTTATTATTGTTGCATTGCAGGTTGTATAGCAATCATAAAAGCGTAAAAAAATGCATCGTAATTCCGACTAAGTAATCTGTCATAAATGCTTAAGCAAGAATGACTAAGCAAATTAAGAATACATTTACATAAAGTAAACTTAGGAAAAATGTTTGTCATTAACGACGAAGGGAAAAACGAAGTAGTTTATTTACTATAATAGCTTAATAGTCAAATCTTTAAATTTTTTCAACATCTATATAAAACATTTTAAAATTTTTTATAACGTTTGTATACACACATATATAATTATTTAATGTTATAATTAAATACATAACAACACATTATAAATTTAGAAAGGCTAAATATGTAAACAGTTAAAATTTAAATCTAAAAGATTATATTTATTAATATAATAAACTATATAAAAGCAATATTAAATAATTGTGTAGCCATAATAAATAAGCATTATTCAACAAATTACAAGTTTGTCATTTATAAAATCTCTGACTTATAAAATGTTATTATTATACAAATATATTATTAATTATTTAATATATGTATAGATAAATGTATTACATATATTATAATTAAAATATATAATGTTGTTAATTTTCTGTAGAAAACAACTTGTTGTAAATTAAAATGTAGATTGCATGAATATGCATAAGTCCGTTAATGTTTCATACCACTTTAGCACCTCTGTACCCTTATATGAGACGCAGACGCAGGTGCCGATGGTATAACCTCTGGAGCACAATCTTATCCCACCAAGTAGTCAAATTAGACTACGGGATCTGGCCTAGTGGCCTTCAACGATAGTTAATAATCGCCGACGATGCAATGTGCAACGGAAAATGCAATCAATTATACTGAATATCTCGCAAAATAGAATTTAAAATACTATATACCTTACACACTTAAAGATTAAAATAATAGTAAATATCAGTACATAATATTAATTATAATATAATTAATATATATGCGTGTGTTAATGTAAAAAAATAGAAGAGATAATTAATATAAATGTTATATGGACGATACTCTTACACAACTGACCTGTCATAAAATTTTACTATCATGCGTATTTCCTTTCTGAACGAAACGCGCAATGCCTCGGAATCGCGCAAAGAAAGAAAAAATATGCGCATCCCCGCGCTCCCAAGAAGCTCTTTTCCACGAAGATAGTCCTCCCGGCAAGTTGCCTCAGCGAGCAATCTCACGAAATTGCACCGCGCGATTTCACGTCGTTCCGTCGACATTACCGTTCGCATTCCCAGCGTTCCCTTTTTCCGAGTCCTTCGACTTTCATTTGACTGACGGAAGGGGATGAGTTGAGAGGGTGAAAAAGTACATAAGGGAAAGAGTAGTGGACAAAAAGATCTATAGCTAGAAGAAGAAGAAGAAGAAGAAGAAGGAAAGAGAGAGAGAGAGAGGGAGAGAGAGAGAGAAAGAGAAATAGAATAAAAATAGATTTCCCCATTCACAGTCAATATTGTCAAAAAGAATAGATTTATCATCATCACAATCAATATTACTCTCTTCAAAAATAATAAAAACAGTCAATGAATTATAATAATCTTCAAAAGTGTAAGTCCAAATGTATAATACGCACGATTCGACGAGTTATTATAATTTCTCTTTTGAAATCGCAATGTGCATATCATCAAATGCGCATTACTTTCATCTTTCCAATAATATTCTCGAACAGTTACTTATCATATTTATGTGCTCTCTATTTTCTATTTTTTGTCATCACGCAAAAAGTAGGCCTAGTGGAGATCAAACTTGAAAACTTAAGCTTTTGCGTAAAGTATAGCGAAACGTCTATCACTAAGTTGACAATGAGTATATAATTTGGTGACGTTTATTCATATGATCAGTGTACTCCAGTCAACCATAACTCGCATACTCAGATTTAAAAATAGTTTGCCGTAGAAAATTCTACGATCTGTATAGCCAGTTTCTAGTTTATTGTTTCCCCTCCCAGATGTATTTTTATAAAATTTTTTTTAAGAAAGCAGAGTTAATTGTGATAACAAATGATAAAATGTCATGTGTACTATATACATCAAAATTTACTATATTACGACATAAATCAATATACGTGATAAAAATAATATAAATTTTAGTTTAACATAATAAATATGATATGTAGATCGCAAATTATTATAGATTCAAGCAAGAAATATATAAACACTTACCCGTGCTTTCGGCGTCTGTTTTAATCCAATGGCTGGTTGGCTGCGGTTACTCTGCAAGAAAAGATGAAAGCTCTTAGTAACGGTATAATGATCGACATTAAATTCAATAAACCATATCGTTTATGCCGTCATATCGACAGATACTTTTAGTCCGGAAAGTAAAGAAACGAACCGCGATAAATTATTGTCATAAAATGTGCCATCAAAATACAAACTCGCGGCTATTTCCGGGTCGCAAATAAATCCGCTTCGAATGCGCCAAAGTGACCTTTTGCACGGTATCCGCGACTGATACGACACTACAAACGATAAAACGATAAATTCATGGCGAAACGTCGCGTCGGTCCGGACGGTATCATCGTGGATGCCATGCCCGTCATTGCTGCATGAAAATTCGTAAATCTTAATTGGTTTGCTGAAACGTAGTCGTTTCTTTCGTGTCCCGATCACGTTATGAACAATGACTATAAAACGGACCAGACGAAATAATTTCACGTTAAGAACTTATCCCAGTAAAATGACAAAACGGCCAAAACAGAGTCACGTATCTCGCAGCGATTTAATTAAGCCATCGCACTCGCCATATATTCCAATGTTGATTAAACTGTTTTCGGAGTCGATGTGCATTTTTATTCGTGTTGATTGCCGCTGTATTTGCAACGTACTATTTCATCTTTTTCACAGTGCACTAAAACAGCACAAAGCACTCATTCCTCGATTTTTGTGAAATCCTCTCGCGTAGTTATTTTTGCACGCGATTTTAGTTTAGATGTTTAGAACAAAAAAATATATATATAATATTTTTTTTAATGTTAATATGGCTCATATGGGTTTATTTAATCTTGTTTATAATCCGCGCGGGGTGTATGCGTGTGTTCTTTGTTAAGAAAATATATTCTAATTATAAAAAAAAGTTAGTGCGGAAACTTACAGGTCCAAGACATTATTCAAGAATTTATTATTTACTAATTCTTTAACTTTTTTGGCACTCTCCAAGAAATCCTAAACATAATCTGTTCTAGATACGTTGATTACATCAAGTTTGCATTTAAATGTCTTCAGATTGCAATTTTCTACAGCGTTCGGAGCAGAAACGAGGACATTTCATCCCGTCAATTTCGACGCTTCGATGCCACGCTGATGATAATTAGCGTGCATTTAGCGGCATTTCGCTTGTCCAAAATCAGCTAACAGATATACTGAGAAACGAATGAGCTTTGTACGAGACGTGATAATTAAGCGGTTTATCTCGATTAATTCCGGATAATTACGCTTGGCAATTAGTTCAATTGCTGCGACTATCCAATGCTGCAATGCAGCATGAGTGGCGGGGCCTTACTCTTTGGTCCCGCAATTGCAATCGGCGAAACCGCGACAACTGCGTCGCCCTTATAGCTACGACGCTCACGAATTTTGCTGGTCGCTGCGCTCTGCACTGAATCTCGAAAATTGCCTCGTAAACTGAGGACGCCGACGGAACCGGACTTGAGTACTTCCCCCGGTTACATTTCCACTTGGAACCGCTGCCCAATTTAAACCGTCATTTACATTTTATCACGTAATAAGCGACCGACACGGACGAGCGCAAATTACACAGCCAAATATTCGCCAGACTTCGTCTCACGTTAGGCACAAGGAAAATTTGAATCTTTCTAGTCGATGCTCGTGTAGCTATTCCATCGTAAAAATTACGCAATCAAGCTTACGCGTCAGGTCATATATTTCCTGAGATGGAAAATATGTGAACGGCAAACGAGAGAAAATAATTAAGCTTGGCGAGTTGCGATGTAAGCTAAGCATCGACGATGGTTGGTGAATTTGGCAGTGCGTTAGTCACTATTACTATTACTGTATCGTAATTACTCCAAGTTTTCTATTACGCTTACTTCACGCTACGCCACGGATATAAGATATTCTAAAATAACGCGACCTACTTCGAGTAATTGTGAATTATCCAGTTTTCTTAACCTACCGGTTTTTTTTCAACTTCTTCTCGTTCACCAATGTTTCCCGTCATATTTTGCTTTCATCCTTTCCTTTTCCCACTACTTGACTGTCGAGATGCGACTCACATCGAAAGCACCATAAAGTCGAATAAACAAAGGAAAAGATAAAGCCGCGAAGGAATGAAAAGAGGACAAACAATAAGACGGAAACTTGGATGAAAAATCGCAGCCGCCTAAAGGAAGCGCGTCGGTGCAGCCAAACACCATCTTGCATCGAGTTCCGTTGACCGAACTTTTTCTTCTCGCCAGTCTCCGCCTCGTGCGAGAAGTTTCGACGGGCGTTTACCGGCGAATTTATCGGCATCGCGGTCTATTAACTCGTAATGGCATTAAGTCGATCTGCCGATACCTGATATGCCGTATAATTATTTTCTGTTCGGACGCGTCCCAGATTATGTGACAGTTTCGCACGGAATGCTTTTTTCACCGACGCATTTAACAGTGAATTGAATCTGAGCATATATTAACCACATTTTATAGAAGAAAAATACACAGATTGCATTCAATGAGCTTGCAGAGCAGTAAATTATACCATTAAATTGAACAAATAATGATAATGTTTAAAGAGTAAAGAGCATATAATCATAAAATATTAATGAAAAAGGAAAAAGTATACAAAGTTGTCCAAAAAACATCTAAAATACATCTTTAGTGTATATTTTAATATATATTTAAAAATTGTACGTCTCTCACTATATTATTTTAGCACTGATTATTCCTGATACAGTATTAATTGATAGAACTGTGGCATTAATTCAATTCTGTTATAAATATGATTAATGTCTTTATATATACCGTTCTATCATCAGCGATAGATTCATCTAACAAAATCCTAAGGTTACATATTTCTTCGATATTAGCTCCAGGTGAAATCCGTTGCCGATCGGTTGATAGACAAGAATTGGTTAGGCTATATCGTTACTAGGATTAATTTAGTCTTGAGCCAGCGCCAGGAGCGTTCGAATTGAAAACAAATCAATCAGAATGAAATGTAGCACAAGAGCTATGGGTATCAGAACGCTCGGGAAAATCCATTGGCGGGTCACGTACAAAGGAAATGGAAATTCCATTTCGCGGAGGAAGCCTCTGACGTCTCCGATGTGCCATTCGGATAATTAGGTATTCAGTTACAGCGTGCGTTTTAGGCGGTTGCAGAAAGCGGATAATATTTGATTCTGGACAAGAGAGACGTGTTCACACGCACTCGTATGTTGTTTAATCAATTCGTCTAGTTCTTTAGCTTAACACGATTCGCTCTGTCTATCTCACATTTTGCACATTTTGTCCTCTTTAGTAAAATATTTTAATTATTTTAACTTTTATAAAATAACATAACTTAATATAAAACGATAATACGATTTAATTTCGTATTTTAATTGTACATATATTACATATATGTATAATCAAAATTCTGCAGCGAAATAAAAAATCATAAACATTGGCAAGCAATAATTAGATCTTTCATTGTGAAAACTAAATAGAAATCCATCTAATAATTGAAAAATTCGCTAAACGTGCGCATTGTATAAAATTTCAATCTATCTATCTTCCATCCATTTATCTTACTATATACGTATTAAGACTATTTTATTTCTCTATTCTCATACCTTTGACTCGTACAATTAAATCAATTAGTAAAATGGTACAAAAGTTGATACATTAAAATACATTCGCGATCGAGGTAAAAAATTCAGTGATCATTTAACTATTTTCAGCACAGCTCTACTTTCCTTCGGTCGCTATGATATTATCGATAAATTTTTAATGACACGTAGCATAAATCGGTTTAGTTAGTGCCTTTATTTTAAGCTCGCACTAACCAAAGTACCAGAGAACATTTGCCTGTAAATTTCAGCTCCGAGTGCAAGAGTTTGCAGACATTAATGGAACAATATTCGTCTGTTCTTGCATGTGTTATAGTACAATAGAATAGAAATCCTTTCTACTTTGTGACCGGACATTTTGAAAGTCGTCGTATATTGTTGATATATGTTGATATATCATTTCAAATAAACTATACTTAATATTAAAAAACAACGTATTAGCATGGCATTACAAATTGTTGATTTATTCTTATTTATAGCACTTTTAATAAATATTTTAAACACTAATGTTTCTGATATTTGGTGCATTACGTGTTAAAATAAGTTTATTCATATAAAAATATCCATAATAATGACAAAATGGATGTAAAAAGCATTAGACATTTTTGTTAATTTATTAATAAAAACTGTTTAATTTAATCTAACCGTATTTTTTCATTAAAAACGAAAAAGCTTCCGGAAATACAATTTACAGATTTGCTTCATCCATCGCAAATGTTTTCAAAACTGTTACACAGAAAGTTTCATTTACCTCGATATACGTTACAAGAATAAATCATACATTATTCTCACCTCTCGCAAAAGTAGAAAAGACTCACGAGAATCAAAAACTTTGAAAGGAAATTGAGAAAATAATGAGAATAATTATTATTGTGCATAAAAGACAATAGACACACGGTTAATTATCCTCGCGCGAATCGGCTTGGCCTTGGTTTTGATCAAATTTTAATCCTGACTAATCCATTACGTGCTTCGATGCTCGCGATTGCACATGCCAAGCTGCTGTTTCGGACTGCGGTTCCGCAATTGTAATTAGCGTTTTCGTTATACCATTCGTTTCTGGCGATATCGTCGATTTCCCATGAGCGTACTACGCAGAAAACAAAATTTGTTGATGAAGCCGAATGATCGTAACTATTGTTGATTGCAATAATTAATACGTGACGAACAAAAAACATGATATTTTATCGCGATGTGATGATTGTAAAATGTAAAACATCAGCGATTTGTTGAATATAATAATATATATGTCAATCTGTATATTTTCAAATGTGTACGAGTGGATTAACTCACCGTCGCGTATTTTATTTTCTGCTTAACATAATATCCGGAAACTGAAACATTTTGATCATATCAATAATGATAATTTATAATAACAATACTAACAGTAATAATATTAACAATAATATTACATTCAGCCATTTTCTGACGATACAACTCTGAAATTTACTACATTTCTGCATTATTTGGATTTTCAATTTGTAGCAAACAGATACATATACTATCGCTTTATAACTTTTGGGTTATTGTTTCATAATTAAATTAAATTGCATTTCATCAACTGTGATAATATTGATGTAAACAAAAATCAACTCATTTGTTTTGAATATTTTCGACTGATAATATTATTCAGTTTTCATTGCGCGAGAGTATACAATTGCAGTTGCGTTGTAATTATCTTAATTTATTACAAAATATATAGTAATAATACTTCATGATGTTATTACTTTCTCTTTTACCACCTCGTGTAGTATAATAGGTACGCCAAGCTTTATCCTTGTATACGTCGTATTAAATCTGCTTAACTCTCATCCGTAATACCTTTACTTAACGAGCATTTTCTACATGTTAACGTAGACTCATGTATTCTGGTTCAAAAACGATAATGAATTAAAAACCAGGATATTTCCGTAATATTTGATCCTACTAGAGATTTCACAGTTTTAAAATTATAATAGTTTTTCGGTTTCAAAAATAGTCTTTCATAAAGGTCATTGAAATTATGTTACGAAGAAAAGAGTTTCAGTATAGCGAGCATTATTAGCGAGAAATACTTTCTTATGAAATTACCATCGGGGTTACGATTGCGTGCGCGCGCCTGTTCCTAAAACACACATTTTGAAATAAAACCTCGATAACGAGACAGAGCTGGTAGTGCTCGAAAAATAAAGTCGCGTATATCGGATTGCATATCAATTATGATATGAGGGTTCGAATTATTTGGCTAGCCGTCGCGTAAAATTGCGCAGGGAAGAAATCCAAACTGTAATCCGCGTACATGGAAACGTTCGATTTTGTAACCTGAGATTTTGTAATCGCAATAAAATAAACAGTCAATTAAAATGTTTTGTTACGGATATATAGATTAAAAGCATGTCTTTCTCTCTCTCTCTCTCTCTCTCTCTCTCGCTCTCTCTCGCAAAAATAATTCTTATATAAATATCCGATGGCACATAAACCGGGATCGTTTGTCTCAATTTATAAGCACTGTACTAAGTGGCGATGAAAAGTTACGCTTGGAATTTCGCGGAAACTCCGCTAGTAAGTAACTGCGGAATTGTAAAAGCTCGCGTAACCGATTGGTATATAGAGATCGCGCGCCAGTGAAACAAAAGCACAACAAGACCGGTCCATGCAAAAAAACAAAAAAATTTGACGCTGGAGTTTTACAGAAAGAAGTTTACGGGTATTATACGCACTGGCGAAAATGACGAAAACGCGTATCTACCAGAACAGAGTTTGACTCTTGTCGAAATTTCGGCTCGTTTCGAGTGACATGCATCGCAAGTTCAAAATGTCAAGAAACTCTATAGCCGCGCATGTTGGAAGGATAAATTCCGGTTATTGAGTGATCGTTACACCGAGATTTTTTTCGCTTACCGCAACACTATGCTCTCTCTCTCTCTCTCTCTCTCTCTCTCTCTCTACAAAAAAACAGCATTTTCAAGAAAAAAAGGTATTTTAAAACACGGTTGCAGAGCTGTAATTGTTATACGTAGCTGACACACTTTAAAGTCATGTAATTTAACAATTCACTGCGCCTGCCCCCGATTTTTTTAATCACGAGTCGAGAAAAACAGAGGATACATGTTAGCTAGTTCGTAGGTGCTCATAAAGTCCCGAATAATACTATCGTAAAGGGCAGTACGTTATAAAGGGGATATCGAAGCGTTTCGTTTTTAAGTACAGGAAAGTCAAAGAGTTCATTGTTGGTTTTCGGTTGATTTTTCGTCCTTTTATCTTCTGCGCTCCAAACACTATTTTTATTCCTACAACATCGCTCAAGCATTGTACACGACACGTGAGATTACTATTTCATATTTAATTCATGATGAACCGTTGTTCATAACACTTCTCCATTTAATTTGATCCTTAATTTAAAAAGTACAAGTTTAGGGCGTGGCAGAACAATTCTGCCCGTTTCAATTTTGATACAATTAAAGTCCGTTAAATCATCAAGTTTCTAACATAAAATATTCTTTTTTTGTGTTACCAAAAACCTTCATGTCTCTTTATTGAATCTCCGGATACGAAATAATTTATACCTACATAAATTTCATCGAATTTTGTTTTTAAGAAGTAATTATTTTTTCATAATTTTTTTTTAATTACTTTAGTTTAGGCAATTTCAATATGTAAAGAAAAATAAGTGTGAAAGTTTCTGTAATAAATTTTTTGATAATTGAATGTTTCAAGCATGCAATTTTATGTAATTTCGTAAAATACATTGAAATACAAACATGGTATGTGTTATTCGACGAATAGTAAAACCAGATTTATATGTCAACGAATGAAACGAGTCTGTGTAAATAAATTCCTGGAAGAAACGGTTTTTGAAAAACCCACCTCTCGATAACGATGTTTTCATAGAATCGAGCTTGGTCGAGAGATGAATGTATCAAACCGTATAGAATTTCCATTCGTTGGTCGAAAGCAGGGAGCACTGACATCCTACACGCACATGGAAGGAGAGTACGGTGAGGTGGAATGTTAGACAGAAATGAAGGTATGGAAAGAATTCGATAGAGAGAGAATACCTCAATACACGCATACTTGATATTACCTGAGAAAAATGGCTATCCGTTTGCGAAAATGGTAGAACTTTAGAATCATAATACTTGTTTGCATTAAAATAAGCAATTAGATAACACAGAAATTAACAAAAATTTATTATTGCGTATTATTTACTAATTGTCAGTTGTGAATTTCCTGCAATTTACTTGTTAAACTAAAAAATAACTAGACACTAGAATAAAATAACAAAAATAACATAAAGGTTTTGTTTTATTTTAAATTCGTTTAAAATATATATCTAAATTTTATAATCGTGACAATGTCTCTGACCTTTGCCACAGCCGCTTATCGACTTTATTTACGATTCGTATTTTTTATTTAATCATTATTCGTATTTAATCCATAAAGTTATATCTATATTCATTTTTATTTTATGTTAACTTTGTTTAATTTCCTTTATATTCTTTTTTATATTATATTGTTTAGTTTATAGTTTAAATGGTCATATTCTTTGTTTAAATTATTGTGCTGAGGACTTAATACAGTCGAAAAGTTCATAATGTTTGTCTATTATTGTGGCCAATGAACTACAGAATAACTTAATGATAACATCTTGTATTGCTCGTATTTTGGTGATTGATATTAATATATTTATTTAAAAAAATTCTGTTCTTATTAAAAATAATATCATTCAAAAAATAAAATTGTCCGTTTCTCAAGACCCTACAAATCATTTCTATAAGATTCCAGTAAATAATTATCACTCACTAAAGAAAACAAATAATAAGGTATAACAACTATTCGATTTCGGTGAAATGCACACTCCGTTTCCGTCAACCTTCGCCTTCGGTTGGCAGCAGTCGAGAGTAAAAAAAGACAATCAAATCACATCCTAAAATGAGACCTTTATAGATGCATTATAACGTCTATTATTACTATACGTACTTGTGTCATTATTCAAATGATATATATATATATATATAATGTATTGAGTTTAGTTTCTGGGTTGAAAGCGCATGAATTTTTTATTTGATTCCGACGTTTCATGAACATTTCAGTTCATTTCACCAGGGAAAAGCAATCTGATACTGAATTGCTCCTCGACAGGTGTACCTTTATATCTATAGTAATCGACCGAGAGGCAGTGGTTGGTAGAAGAGGGGAGGGGACAGAAGTCTAATTGCGTTTTGATGTTCTTTTATGCTTGCTAGTATAATGCAATTAGTAACATAATAGCAGACAAATAAATTACAATCGAATTTTATAAAATATAATTATTCTAACTAGTTTCATTTGTGTGTTTATAATATAAAAATAATTTGTTCTCTAGGCATATTTCTTTCTAATTAATTATTTAAAAAAGTACTATTTTATAACAATGATCAATAAAACCTTATTCATTACTACTTAATTACGAGTAGGTACTCGCAATACTTTAGACAAATGTATTATCATGTATTACCATGTGTTTGATAATTATTCAGATATTAATTATTGATATATTGTACGACACATGTATGATTGTTATTTTTAAACAACTTTTTTCCATTCTTTAAAAAAATAAGATATACTTTCATCTTTTTTAGCGATAAACATTAACATTAAAAGTTTATAAAAAGAATTTGTATGTATGTACGTCCCGTGAATAAAATGAGAAAATCTGCCATTCTCACTATTCGAAACATATTTGCAATTGACCGAGTAACATTATACTGTCAGACGATGTTGATGTGTTGAGTTTTATAATTGTGACAGAAATGTCGAGAATACAAACCAGATACGGAAAATAGAGCGAAAGGTATATAGGACTCGTAACGAAGTTTTCAAAGACAACATCAGGTCTGATATCTAACAAGTTTATTCTACTCGGCTGCCGTGACAAAAACTGCAAGTAGAGATCTCTATCCTCCACCATCCGTTGCCATCACCGCAATCTCCTCGGCCACAAACCAAGCTTGTATTCTCCAACATTCTGGATAATATAAAGGGAGCTTTTACTTTACAATTCGCTCAAAGACTTTGAGTCTAGCTATATAGTGCAGAAGCATTAGAGATGTTAAAGCGGATCGCTATTTACACTTTGATTAAAATTTGCGATTTCAATTAGCAAGGTTCCGATCATGTTTTATGTCTAATGTGTTAATATAAAATAATCAATATATAAACCCGTAATTATTTTCTCATTTAAGTTTGGAAAATCATACTTACACGTTTCGCATTACACTAAAAAAAAAAATGTTCGATAATCGACGAAAACAGTTAACACACAAATATGAAAATATTTTTATTTCTCAAATGTTACCTCGGCTTCTGGTGACTGCACTATCAAGGACGTCCGTGGTGGTTTCTCCGGTGGTATTTTCTTCAGTGTACCAGTGAACGAACTGGCAGGTAGACTGGCACTCGTTGCTGAAGCACTCTCGTGACTCTCGATCTGGCACTGAAGTCGGTGAAACTGGGAAAACGAAGTACGCGACACATCGGCACGATCGAATTGCGGAAGGCATGGTAACGGCATTTGCGACATGTTCGGTATCTGAATGGAATTCGGATCGGAAATGTCGTGTTGCACGCGAGACGTCAGTTTCTCGCACACGGACGATTGGCAAGTTTGAAGGGTGGCGTTCTGCGGGTACGTAGTCAGAAGCGTTTGATGAAGGCCGTGTACTAGTTGATGAGCCGAGCAAGATTTATCTGATGACTGTTCTTGATGATTCGAAAGAGAGCTCCCTTGACCCTGATGAGTATCGCTTGTTAACGGAAGTTGCGCAAAATCGCCGGATGTCTTATGAGTCTTATCATTCAACTGACCTTGATTCTGCAAACTGTGTAAACGAGCTTGCAGGTCATTCTGTTGATGCTGAAATTGCGCCACTTTATCCAGAATCTGGTTCTGATTTTGAAGACATTGCAACTTGGCTTGGAGGTCGCTCTGCTGACGCTCAAACTGGCTTAGCTTTTCAGAGATTAAATCGAGACTCTGTTGATTCTGTAACTGCTGTTGTTGAGCGTGAAGAGAATCTGTTTTCTCACTCTGATTTTCCAATGTATTCTGTAAGTTCTCCGTTTGGCTCTTACTATGAGTGAGCAAGTTAGATGTGGTATTGTGACTTTTACGGTGGCTATGGATTATGTGATCGATTTGATCAATTGGTTTGTTAGCAGTCGTCTCGCCAAAATCAGTTACCACAGTCAACACAGTCTTCGTGTCCAATTTTGCCTCGCTGAGAGCTGGATACTGATGACAAAGATTTGGACTGGCTCTCTGCGATGAAGCGGTACTGACTACTGAGCCAAGATTCACTACGGAACCTGTAATGGGTTGCTCATCAAAATCCTTCCTCGAGAGTTCCATATGTTTTGTCAGATCGGCGCTAACGTGTCTCAAATGTCGGCGTTGCTCCATTATAGTGCTCTGACTAATATTTGGAAGTGGTTGAAAGGCCGATTGAGACATTCTGGATTCTTTCCGATCGTCCGGCGGATGAATCGATCTGATATCTCTCCTTTCCTCTGACGGGTTACGAGAACGAGGGCTTGTCGTAAATATCGGACCTTGAATCATAGTTCTTTCGTGTTCTTGCCGTTGACGTTGCTCTGCCCAGATCGCTAGCTCCTGTCTAGTCTTCTCAAAGTTTTGGCTAACAAAAGAAGGACTTTTCTGTCCGGCGCGATCAACAGACGTTTCGCGAATCGGCATAAACGGCATAGGCGATCTCCTTACATCTTCCATTCTCTTTCCTTCCAAATTCATGGGTGATCTTCGATGCTCTTCGAAATAATCCGAGCGTCTATTCTCAGGAGGGATGACATTCCTTTGATTCGGACTCACATTACCCCATTCGGGCTTTCTATCGGTCCCTATGCTCTTTCTATTTTCTTGTCTCGTATCGAACGCCATTGGCGATACACGCAGACTAGCATCCAGTCTTCTTTGCTCAGCAGGGAACATTTGATTAGTCTCGATTCTCTTCGCGTCTACCACAGTGGTAGTTTTCCTTCCCGACATAATCTCTTGATTGCCGTCACCAGGAAACGTAAAAGTTATTGTATCATTACGTCTTTGAAAGCTAGTAGTCACATCGACAGATACGGATTTCCTGTGCTCCGATCTGGACACGTACAAACCGCATTCAGTGGCAATTGTGTCGACCAATTTTTCTCTGCCTGACTGATCACCATTAGTGTCTACATATAAACCGTCCTGTCTCGTTCTAGGATTTTGATTAATCGTGGTTAAGTATCTTCTATCTGGACCGTCCGGGCCAATTGGCGCGCCCGTCATAATAATGGCGCCATCGCTACGATGAATCGAATCTTGTTGAGCAGTCGGGTTTGACTCATATTTTGCCTTTTGCAATGCCGGCACATCGACGCTGGCAGATTTTCTGTGTCCAGGGTCATGGGTGGTGATTTTGGAATTACCACGAGGCGGCACCATCGGTTTCGGTCCTCGGCAAGGCCGCTCCGTCGTTTGGATAGCGATTCCGTGGGTTACGTTCTGAGCTATCGGTTGAATGATCGGTTGCGTCTGATACTGGCTGATTTCTTGTGAAAACCTCTGCGGATTCGGCGACTGTTGACCAGAGTATTGCTGAGCTGGGTAGATACCGGCGTGCGGATTGTACGGTACGGCGTTCATGACCGTTTGCGGATATTGACTGTAAGGATATTGTGGCTGAGTACCGAATTGAGCGTAACCACTTGGTGGCTGTGGCACGACTACACCCGAGTAATAAGGTGGTTGCGGACTAGCGGATTGCGAAGGTATCTGTGAGCCATGTTGAACCGTTACGTATTGGCCCTGCCCTGTAAACATTGGATTAGTCGTACCGCTTTGACCATAGAGATTCGGGTCGCGATAAGTGACATCTCTCGTCACATAACCAGCTCTATCGGAATATTGCGTTTGCGGGTAAATCTGTGACCTGACCTCAAATTGTCCTCGTATCTGTGAATATTGATTTTGATCATAATCTGGTGCAAATTGTGGTTGCACTTGTACCGGCACTGTCTGAGTGCTGGTCTGAGACACGTGCTGAGCTCTGTCCGCGTTGCCTTTCTCTTGACTGTATTGCGGGGGTGGTAGTTGACCCGTTGAAGGATGTTTATCTTCTGGTAATCCTACGGATTGCCTCCTTCCCGATGGATACTGCGCTATTGGATGAGCAAGTTGCTGTTGTTGTTGTTGCTGTGAAAGCGATTGCGGCTGCTGATCCTGAACTTGCCCGGCAACTGAGGTATGCTGTGTCCTTTCTTGGGTAAATCTTTCGTAATCCATCGTTCGATTCTCGAAACCGTTGGTTAAGTCCTGCTTCATGGGATCAGCGAGTGATTCAGCACGACCGTTTTGGCAAGTTGTCTGTTGACTATCCGTTGTTTGTCCACCCTGGTTCTGTCCTTGAGCATCGCTCAGTCCACCTGACCCGGACTGCGACATGTTGGTGGCCCCCACCGACGGTCGTCCGCCGATGTAGCCGAGGATTCGCCCTAATCCACACACTGTGGCGACTTAGTGAGCGACGTTGTCGAAAAGATCTGAACGCTAACTTGAACGCTACCACCGCAGTTCTTATGCCTTTTTACTTGTGCTAATTCAATTCGAGGCGTATGAACGTTAATCTTGCTATCAATGTTTCCAATTTTCTGGGAAATCTTTGTTTCTTTGGGCAAACTTTGAACTTTTTTATTTTTTAAAATATTATTCGCTTATCTCGCTTAGAACGGGAGGGAGGTAGTTACCAATTCTTTAAGAATTAAATATTCTAGTGTATTTTACCTCAAAAATAACAATTATGAGATAATTGCTAGTACTCATTCATATAATGTTACTTAATAAAGAGCATAATAGAAAATAATTAATAAGAGACAGTCGTCAAATCTACTAATATTCCTTGACGCAGTTGTTGATTCACTCACTTTACTTTTCTACGACAAAACGAGATTGTAGTGGTAAAACGTTTCTCTTTCTTGTTTCTCCACGCACTCTTCCGTAAACACTTTGGTGTTTCGAACAATGTCGTTACATACGGAAGGGAGTTATCCTCTTTTCTTCAATCTCACTTTGTCCTTTATAAGAGTACTTTTCAGGATGGCAGTGTAAAACAGTTTGCTCTTCCCATAGTCTTCATCCTCTTCTCGGCTCAAGACATCGTATACATACGCTTCTATCCATATTTCTGCAATATATTTCTAATGCATTTATAATTGTAAACTTTTGATTATCTCGATATTGATTGAAAACACTGTGGCTATATGTAAATTTTTCCAAACGTTATATATGCCGATAATCTGACTTTGATCTTTTATCCATACTCCTCTACACATCTTTTGATTGAGCTGTCTTGATTTTCTATCAAACTTTCTAGAAGCAAACTTTTTGTTTTCGTTTGTTGATGACCTCGATCACAATTAGCCATTAACTTGGTAAAGAAAAGGAAAATGTCCCGATCCTGTCAACTTCACGAAAGCATCGTTTCATTAATGTGTCCGTTGTCACTAATAACAAAGTTTGCATGTCTCTCCAGTTTCCGCATATTTTTGCGCGAACTTTACATCCAACCCAACTTATCTGAAAATAAACAATTTCAAAATGCACCGAAGGTCTTTCAATGCACTCACATCGTGGATTTTCGCCCTTGATAATCAACATAATATAGAGATTCGTTTTTTTCTTAAGTATTATGTTGTCAATTTTCACGTAAAAAGGAGAGTAATTTTGTTAAACCCATATTGACATTAAAAACCTATTGATTGAAAATTTTCCAAATCATAATTCAGAATATAAGCTTATTAAAAAATATGTTATTGCTTAATTACATTATTAACCAAAGACCTATAATATTATTTGAGTTTTATTATATTTTACATATTTCATCTAAAAATAGTTGTTAAACTACTAATCGAGGTTTTAACCCAAATCTAAACTTAAAAACTGATTAATAATACCCGGAACATTTAATTGCATCGGTTATTCTATTCTATGATTTATTTTACTCCAAAAAAGCGAAAATTGTTTCCTCGATTTCCCAAGCGTCTCGTGATCATCGTATTTTCTACGAACAGAGCCATCTTTCACTGCCAGAAAGTTAGTTCTGAGGAAATGGCGGCGATGAAAAGTTCTCATCGGCTTGCAGCTAACCGATAAAATATTAGTAACAGGAAAGTGCTGAAAATTCCTTAACCCTCCCCCCCAGCTTATATTGAATAATTAACAATGTTGTACAATGTTGTACAACTCGTACTTTATATTTAATACTAAGATTACTTTTTATAAGTGAAGTAACGATGGGATAACTTTTTCGCTTATATTTCGCTTATATCTCTGTTCTGACGACTTTTAATTCGAGTATTAGAAAAATTTTTTAGCACAGTTTAATTGCCTTTCTCCTCTTCGAAAAATAACATAAAAATATATATAAGTATTTGTATATATATAAAAGATATACAAAAAATATACAAAATTATTTATATACAATAAATGATGTTTTTTCAACTTTGACATCTTGTATTTATACGGTTTAAATGTACATTTTGATATAATCCTTTAATTGTGTGATCCTCCAAAATAAATACTGCTGAATTTCCAAAAGAAGTAAACCATAAAAAGTATAATAAAGATAATGCTATATTTTTTATTTAAAAAATAACATTTATATATATACAAATTCTCTTATGTAAACAGCCTAACATAAGCGATAAATTCTCTTATGACGGCTAAAATTATTATTTGCTTATAGTGCTTATACAATCGACATTAAGTAATAAAATCTTCTCTTGTTTTGCCCACCTCTGAGTGAATGTATTCAGTATTCTTTTTCTCTCTTTCTCTCTCCTTCATCCCCTCTCTTCCACAATTAAATATAATATTTTAAATATAATTACATATTTACTATTTCTTTCATATTACAACTTTCTACTACTTTTTCCTTATACGTATATACCAGAAGAGATAAATACAGTTATCCTAGATATGTCTAAAGGAAAGCATGGCTTATAAAATGAAAAAATATCTATGTAGTAAGCAGTGTCGTACTTTACAATTTGTTATATGTAAATGTAAAATTATTGTTTTTATGTTTTGCTCTCTTTTCCACATATTTCATATTTTACTTTTCCTTTTGCAAATACATAAAGCACATATTACGTGCACGTACATCAATACATCTTCATATATTTGCCCATATTCATCATGCTATTAGTACATCAAAAATCTAACTGTTTGTGAAATACAATCACTGCATATTTATATCTATATGTTCATTCTCTTTCAAAGTGTACATTGTGTTCGTATATCCTCATAAATCTTTAATATTCCTTCTATTCTGCATACAGAGGTGTGCGCGTTTATGCTTACGTGAAAAATCAAGTGTGAACTGATTTACCTTTGTTGGCATGCATATAAAAATTCAAAAATTATTATACTTTATATATATATATATATATATGTATATATATATATATAAACCGCGGAATTAAAAAAATTAAATGGTAGATGGTGAATTTGAATGAATCAGTGCGTAGATGCAAACTTCGTAATTTGAATAATTTAGTGTCGGAAGCACTCGCTATATGATGTCGAATTGCCGTGAGAACTCCATTTTCGTTAGTTATTTGTTATATAAAATTAGCGATAGCGATCATAGATCTGTTCTTTGACAATGACTCGAGTTACGGCATCAAATACGCATTGTCAACAAACAATTTACGCAAATTATTTCGCGTTGGGCATAAAATATACATAAGATTTTGTGGTTCATATATCGACAATGACAACTGATTGCTTTCCAAACTAAAACAATAGCGTACTTGCAATTAATACGTATTATTACACTTCAGTTATTGCATTTAAATTCATTTTACTTAAAATTATACAAAAGTTATTTTATAAGCTTATTTAATAAATTGTTAATTATATTTTGTATAATCGTGACTGTTAAAATATTATAAGATTATATAATTTTAATTACTGCTTTTTGACGTAGTTTCTACATTTTCGATTTTCCATTTAATAATGTATTCCTTTTCCTGCGTAATAAAATACAAATTTAATTTACACGTAACTCCGAATTAAACACTGAACAAAGAATATTTATTTTACTCATGAAAAGCCATAAATGTAAATAAAACCTGGTTTAACCTTATATATACGGAAAAATGTATAAGTTGAAAACGTTTCACTTTGTTACACATCGCTATTTAGTACGCCATAATTTCTCGTTTTAATACTCGTAAATAATTCAAATTATACGTTGCTTTTTTCGTAACTTTGTGCACAAACAAAAGTTCGAATATACACACGCGCGAAAGCTGCAATAGGGATCCTCTATCCCAAAAGAATGTTGTATAGATCACATTCGCCGGATTCAAATCAACAGCTAAGATTAATGGACAAATTCTAAAGCTAACTTTATGTCCAAATCGAATAGCCAAATCAGATCGACGATTGATGCACTCGGGGAAAATACAAATAATCGACCGACTCGCAACTACCTGCTGCGAACTATCTAATAAGATTTCTAAATTTGACTTAATAACATATTAGTATATTATATACAATAATTCAGATTTGAAAGCGCAAAGATGTGTTTGATTTAAATAATATAAATAATTAAACATGTATTGTTTACATTAAGACAATTGAAAATTAATCTCTATTAATAAATATTAAATATATTGCAAACTAATTTTCTACATTATCTATATTTAATAATATAAATAGGATTATATTTAATAGGATTATATTTAGTAATATAAATAGGATTATATTTAGATTATGGGAACGTATTATTGTGATATATGTGTCGACTAAATTATATTTTCAATATTGTTATCTATTTCTGACTCATTCTCTTTTTAATGTTTATATAAATAAGCTTTGTAACATTATTAATAAGAGCAATAATTTGTTAAGAAATTGTTTTATATGTAACTTAGAAATAAGTTTAATTCTTAAAAAGAACAAGAAATAGAAGCAAAATACTGTAAAGAGTCAATAATTGAGAAACTTTGCAGTTCTCTTATATAGAATATTCTCCACCGTTTCCACCGGCATTTTCTCTCGCACATCGCGAATATTTTCCCGTCTGCCTGCATCAATTAATTTCAAGTTTTCGTCAGTCTAGGTCTCTGACCTAAATACGAAAGTTCGTATCCCAGTATAAAGCCGACCACGATCCCGGACTTTTCCAGCGCGGACTTCATTTCGTCCAGGTTAATTGAATCCTCGAAGCGATACGATTGGCGGGCGACCAAATTTCGCCAATTATCGTATCCAGCGGCGGAGAACTGATTTAGTTCAAACTGAAAATCGTTTATGCAGACGCGGTCCGATTACGGCAATGTTAATTTCCGTACGAACTGTGAAAAAAATATCGAAAGTAGCACGATTGATCGATGAGGTGTGGAGAGAGAGTCATCGGGCGTCTATTTGACATTCACGAGCGAGCCAAAACCAGGTCTCTCTGCCTGCTGACTTTTGAATACATCCTCGACCCAGTCGCGAAAAGCATATTAAAAAAGTAAGCGAATAGAGGTAATATCCATGCATCATCTCGCGTGTGCAAGAAACGCTTCACTCTTGAAACAAAACGGCGAAGGCGACGGATCGTTGGGTGATCTAGAGTGGAATAAAAATGTTTCCAAATGACAAACTATATATATAACATAATTAAAATCACTAATAATGATGCCGTTTCTAGACTTGTGCAAAAATTGACGCTTTGTAGTAAGCTTATACTTTCACGAAACATATAATTTTTTTCCTACCTTCATCAGCTTCTCGTTTGCATGTATATTTTTTGTCTGTGTCATTACATCTGAATCAATAAATATTAAGTATTAAATGTGCGCGTAAACAAGTATTGGCGCGCGCGCGCACGTGTGTTTAAATTATAAGAGGACAATTTATGCGAAACAAGAAGCACCTACTTTAAATTTTGTGATGGTAGAAATCGCATGCCACGTTCTCCATCGTTCTTGGTGTGTATTTTTCTTTCCTTTTAGATAACCCTAGTTAACCCAAGGTTTTCTAATTTCCATATTTATCAAAGGCGTCAAAAGTTTTCTACACTAACTTGGTTTCAAACTCGGAAACTCGCTCCCTCTGGGCGAACGGAAGCTCCGTCGCTGGAACTGTCTTGTTCCGCTGTCACTACGTGAAAATTAAGGAGGATAGATGGCAGCATTATTTCTCCAACCTACTGTCACCGTTTAATTATAGTCTGACAATAGATTATATGCGATCCTAGATGTGTTAAATCTAGTTATGCTTTTGTGTGTTATTAAATGTGCCTAACCAGATATACGACCATATTATGGCAAAACTTGCCAAATTTGTCAAAATAATAAGTTATTATAATATTGTTCGCTATTCGTAGAAACAGCTACATACATAGCTTTATTCGTTCCTAAGAAAGAAAATGTAGAACAATAACTTTTTTGCAAGCAAAACAAAAAATTCTTTTGTTAAATATAAATCCAGAGAAAACTTTATTTAAAAATTTCAAATTGTTACAAACCATTTTTTGGTATAATATACGTTAATGGAACAGGCCTTTTAAATAAAATATA